TCCAAACTTGGCCACTTTAAGAAGAGTGGACTTCAACTCCCAGAATTCCCCAGCCAGCATGAAGTCCACTCATCTTAAAGTGACCAAGTTTGGACAACACTGCTGTAGGGCAATGCAATATTCCAGCTTTGAGGGCAAAAATGTGCTTCTGAGCATGAATCAGTGCATCTTTTTGTGGGAGAATGATGCAGCTGTGTGATCTCTGGGAGTTTGCTGATTTCTTTATTTTGTACCCATCCCAATTCTGATGGACCCTAGGTAGCATACAACAAAATAAATTAGATTAAAACGTAGAATGAAACTAAAACAATCATATTCCTATTGAATACTCTGACAGTGTCCGCAATCACCTTGGATCAAAGGTGTGATGGAATAGCCCTGTCTTTGCTTGCTTCCAAAAAGCAAGGAGGAGTGGGGCTCATCAAATCTCGGGGGGGGGGGGGGGGTCAGTTGCAGACAGGTGCTTGCAGGAATACCCCTGCATGCTCTGGAGTACCTTTTTGCTTTCAGAGCCTGAGCACAGCACAGTCCACCTTTTCAAATCTTTTAGTTCCAGTTCAGAGGAAAGACCCTTTTCTGACTTCCAAAAAAACTTGAGAACTTCCCCTTCAGTCTTATCAACTGGGACTTTCACTAGAATATTCATAGCTATAAGCCACTGTTTTAAGTTGGAAGGTGAGAGAACCCCAGGAAGAACACTACTGTGTGTAAGTAACATTTTTGCTTTCATCTCCTCTTTGCCCCAACTCTGCATCACATGTCTCCAAGCATTTCCTAAGTCTGAGCTCCCAGAGGGCTGGTGTTACTCTTACAAAGAAAAGGGGAGTTGGCCCACTTCTGATTGGAGATGGGACCTCTTTGAATTACATTCTCCCACTGGAACATGTGTTTGCATATCAGAGAAAAAGCTAAGCATTGATCCTGAAATGCTAGTTTTCTATGAGACAGTTATTTGTTTAATCATTTAAGGAGAGGAACATTTATTCATGCCAGCCACCATCTGCAATGTAAAGAACAACAATCCAGAAATACATCTGTTGATTGTGAAAATGACATCTCTGATTCAGCTGTAGCTTCCAGAGTGATATTTGGGGTTTACCCTCTCCCTGAATTAGGCTGGAAAAGCTGCCTGTGCCAAACCTTGGTTATCCAATTATGACATTGGAAGGTTGTAAGCAAGCCACAGGAACTACTCCTAAACTCCCTTTCCAGTTCAGTCAATTTACGTCCCATCTTAGCCGTTTCAAACTTTTTAAGGGAATTGGTTAAAAGGAGCTTCACCCTGGCCTGCTATTGTAATTTAAGTACAGAATGGCCTCTGAATATTGGAGAAATGAGGAAATGTCTGAGACATCCTAAGGCTTCCTGTGATTGAGTCACAGAGAAATTTAGCTCTGAAGAAACATAAGGTCAACACTGCACACAAATGTGAATCATCTACCCAAGACTGGATCCATGTTTCCAAAGTATCACATCTGTCATATCTTCATCACCCATCAAGTAGAGAAGAGAACCATCCATAATGGAGAGCTGCCTTTATTCAGGGAGGCTCACCTGAAATTTCAAATCTCATTTCCCAGGTTCAAAACTGCATGGAGAACTTCCACAGATCAAGGCCCCTGCTGCAGAAAGTGCCCTCTAAGTGTAACAGGCAGTGAGAACGGTCTCCAAAGAAAGAAAGGGGCAATGCCCTTGTCTGTACTCCCCATTCTCATTTGTTAGGAGATGGGTTGGGTCTGAAGAAAGCTATAAGATCTGATTCCACAGAATTCTAATTTACTTCCATTTGTCTTGGGAAGAAGAGGCTATAACAGGAGCTTGAGCCCCTCCCACAAAGTTTTGGCTTTTGACCATTTGCAAGAATAGACCCAAAGCTTTTAGGGACATTGTAAGTTACAACAATTTTGTTTATGTGAAACAAACATCTGAACAATGAAGTCCAGAAGTATACTTATTTCAAATCCAAGTTGAGAATCTTGCTGAATTGTGTGGCCAGTGCATAATTTTAACAGGATACCAAGTCACCTTTAAGTTGGCCTCTCACAGAAAATGTCTGGTTTTCCACGTTCCCAGCATGTTGGGAAGTGGATTGCAGGGGCAAGAAAGAGTATCAGCCCATGCTAGCAGGACTCACCGTCTGGTCAGTAAGTGGAGGAAGTACAATTGTCTTCTCCATTGTATTCATGACAAGCTTCCAGAGCTCCTTCAGCACTCGTTTCAGGACAGTCTTCTCGCAAATTTTAGCAAAGAGAGTCAAGCTAGGATGAAAAAAGTTAATGGAATAAAGAAGAGGGTGAGCATTTTAAAGTTAACAGCTGAATGAAGATGAGAATCTCCAATACTTTTGGGCCTGGAATAGAGTGGGAAAATTTGGGCCCAAACACCATATGTGCTGCTCGGAGAGGGATGGTCAAGAAAATGCCTATTCATGTGCATGCACTCACATGAACAAAGACTCCCCAAGCATCTTCTCCCTCCTAGAAATCACATGGCAGTTGAGATTGCTAGGAAGGGAGTTGAAGCCACCCATGTCCCCTTCTCTATTGATTTGGATTGCAAAAGTCCAAGTACTCACAGATGGCAGCAAAGAGATGCAGAAAAGTCTAGCTCTTTGTGATCATCTAATGGTTACCTGGATTTTTATCTTGCAGGTATGGACACTTTTGCCCATGCCTAATGTAGCAAAGTTGCAACCACTGCCAACTTCAGCCTGTTTCTGAAAGGCCCAGTAATCATAGAGTCTTCCTAATGAAAAAGGCAGAATGTTGAAAGCAGTTGCTTTTTGACTGACTTTTCTCTTTATGTACTGAGCTACGTGGGAAGAAGCTGATATCTGGGACCACAAAGGTGCAGGCCGATACAATATGCTCAGGACAAACCACAGAGCACAGAGAAGACTCTATGGCTGCTGTCCAGTACACCAAATCCCACTATGGAGGTGCTTCTGAGTTTGTTTTAATTGAATCTTCTCTCTGCATATATAAGTAAAAACATAACCTGCCTAGAAAAACTACACTGATAAAGCAGATTGCGCCTAACCTTCAAAAATCCAGTTCAGCAGCCAGCTTATACATTAGCAACTCGCCTGAACAAAAATCCTTCTGACTGTTGCTCAAAGAATAATTGAGAGAGAGAGAGAGTTAAACACTATTTTTAATAAAGGTCAAGAATCAGGAAGTGTTTTAGTAAAGTAAAAAATATATATGCAGGGTAAAAAGTAATGGAAATAATTTTAGAAAATGAAATAGAAATGCAACCAACCAACCAACACCCAAACCCGGGTAGCTAAGATTTCTACCTTACCCCCCTGAATCTGCACTCACTTGCTATCCAAGAGGTCCATAATAGGCTGCAAGACGTTGTCAGCATCCTGAGCCACACTGCTGCAGGCACTGGCAGGCACATTCCCGGTGCCTTTCACCTGGCTCAGGATGTCTCCCATCTGCTTCACACAGTCCTCTATATGTGGCTGAAAACTGGAGAGAAACAGAAGGGCTCACCTGAAGTTCTACTAAAGCAGAGACACAACCAGCCTCCCTTAACATGGCATGGTGCTGATGGGTTCCGTTGGCAACTCCCATAATTTCTGGCTGGGAATTGTAGGCTCAAAAACAGCTGGAAGATGCAAAATTGAGGAAGGCTGGGCAAGAAGAGTCTTGAAGCAATTTCATAGATCTTGTGTTCTCACTGATTGATTGGCCTGGTCCAGTTTGCAGTCCCCACCCCACTGTATACATCCAACATCACATGTCCTGCAGGAACATAACCTCAGGTTAACCTCCCGTTGTCTTCCAGACTAGTCCTACCTGGTTGCAAATACTCGGCTTAGCTCATCCAAGACATTGTTGAGCTTCACCTGGAGCTCCTTGAGGATATCGCTGGCTTCTGTGTCCAACTGAGAGGACAAAAAATAACAATGTTTATGAGCAGTAACAGAAATCAACCTGCTTAGATAATAGAAGCCAGTTTCCAGAATTTATCTCAAATAGAGTATGTATATATGTATGTATGTATGTATGTATGCATGTGCTTACTTATTTACTTATAGGGGCTTATATGCTACACCAAACTAAAGGGACCCTAATATAAGTCTGTTGTATTTAACTGGCAAATGCAATGCTTGTCAGTTTAGGGCAGTGTTACTCAACCTTGGGAACTTTAAGATGTGTGGACTTCAACTCCCAGAATTCTCCAGCCAGCCTGGCTAGGGAATTCTGGGAGTTGAAGTCCACACATCTTAAAGTTCCCAGGTTGAGTAACACTGGTTTAGGGATTGGCTAAACTGGCGTGATGTCACAGAAAGTTTGGTTGCTCAGGGTACTAACGATATCTGTCAGTTTGGCTGGAATTAAAATCTTACCAAGAAGATTGGCAGAGGGCTGAGATCTGGTCTTAAGGAGGTAGAAAACTCACTATCTTTTGGAATGCTATTTTTGCCTACCCTACAAACTTCTGCTTACTTTATTATATAGTTTATTATTCCTAAGATTAAAATTTTTTAAACTGCCCTGGAAATCCATTTGGTGAAGGATGGCAACATTAATATTTTAGATAAATCAATGTAATACAAGCACTGAAAGTGAGAAAAAGATGGAGGGGAGTGGGGAAAAAAGGCTGGTCAATTAAAAAAAAAAGGCAGATAATTGGGCCAAGGAGACAGTCTTTTCCCACATGATCTCTTGATGTTAAACCAATTACAAACTGATTTAAATTTTGCATTTTAGACATTTGAAATAGCTTTTGGCAATTAAAAGGGAAAAAAATCTAATAAATGTTCTACCTGCTACCAGTTTGAGACTTGTATCCACTATCCAAGATGAGAAGGCAAAAAAAGGAAATCAAAGAATCCAGAAATTGATTCTGGGATCTTTTGAATTAGTAACTTCAGGCATGTCAGACTGGGCACAGCTTATCCATCAAAACCCACCTTAGCCAAATGAAAGAATTGCACTCAAACGGGTCATATAATTCCAGCATGATTCCTTATGTGGGTAGGACAAATGTCTTGGCTGATATTTTGTATATTCTACCAACCAAGGAATGTATAGATTAGTCTACTTCAGTTCCACATTTATCTATTCATAAATCCTTTCCTTCATCAATCTGTTTTTTTTCTCATTCATGTGTTTTTGTTTAATTTGCATGAAAAAGTCCATATTAAAATTCCTATTTAAATATTATTTATATGGGCGTTTCATCTGAAATTACATTTTCCCTCATTAAACACACATTGTCTCAACAATCATACATATTTCTAAAAAATTTTATTGCTGTTTTTTGGTCAACGTTTGAAGAATTGCACCATGGGAAGTTAATTCCAGCTGTGATTGGCACATTCCTAGGAGGAAGATCCTATGAAGGATTCCCTTAGCCCTAAACACAAGATCAGAAGGAATTTACAGAGGTGATGCAGAAACACAAATACAGATAGGCAAATCTATTATGTTTTTGCCCAGTTTCTCATTTGGCAATTTCAAGTTCCATTCAGACCTCTTTCCACACTATTTTAGATATTTGGGTGAAAAAAAATGTACATGAACATTGATCTGTTTTTGGTCCAGTGTCGTGTAATCCTTAAGGTGTTGGATTAGGGCGGGGGAGATCCAAGTTCAAGTCTACCCTCAGCCACGAAAGCTCCCGGGGGGACTTGGGGCTAGCCATTCTCTCTCAACCCACATGGTTGTTTTTGTGGGGGGAAATTGGAGGAGGGAATGCTATGGACAATGTGCTGAGCTCCTAGGGTTCTCCCAAGGCTGAATGTTAACCTAACAAACAAACAGACCAATATAAGTATATATAAATAAATAAGCCATTTTTTCAATAGGAAAGTGCATATCTTTCCCTCTGATTTATCAGTTTCATTATATTTATAATTTACTCTTAATTGCACCTTTTTGCAAAACACAAGAATCTGATGAGTATGAATTTTATATGGCACAAGTTTTCCCTTGTATTTGGGAGTCCTGAAATTGGAAGATTGATCTGAGAATTCTGATAACTGGAATTTCTCATACACCCCCACAGGTCAATAGCCTTTCCCTTACTGATGAGAAACCAAATCCACCCTCTAAATCTAGTGGATGAGTGGAGAAGAGACCTTGCATATCAACAGAGATGATGTCTGCAAGAGATGACTAAGACCCATCATCTCTCTCTGCGCCTCTCTGGCCCACTTCCAGCCCAGTTGTCCAAGATCTTTTAGAAATGCAAACCTCTTTTCCCCCCATAGCTTCAAACATCTTCTCCAGCTGGACACGCAGCTGCTGTATGTTGTTCATCAGGATACAGGGCTGGAACAGAAGAAACACATATACACAAACACATTTAAAGGCTGTTCTATCTCTGATCAACACGCATATGAACACTGGGGATGAGATGTACATCAACGGATTGTGGTATGAAATGAAGCAACTGTTGCCTTGGAGAGCAGGACCAGAACCAATTGGTTGAAACTGCAGACAAGTAGATTCAGGTTAGATTTTTGGAGGAATTTCCTGATGGTATGAATTATCAAGCAATAGAATAATCTATCTTGGGAAGTGGTATGTTCCCTTTGCTGAAGATCTTCAAACTAAGGGTGGATGGCCATGTGTCCTTAGCAGATCCCGCACCAAAGAGAAGCTTGGACTAGATTACATCTGAGGTCCCTTCCAACTCTATGACTCTACGGTCTTCCACTTTCAGGGGCAATGCTAGTCATCCCCCCTCAGTTCTGTTAAACCAATATTAGGGAGACTGCAATATAGGAAAGGGTAAAACTCTGAAACAGTCAAGCAATCTCCCTGAGGCTAGTATTCTTCAGATGCATTGGACCTCCATTATTCACTTCCAGCAAGGAAGGCTGAAAAGGCCAGTTATCCCCATCAATGTTCACCCCCTAAATAGCTCTAACTTCTATGAAAATTGCAGAGTTAGGAGGGTCCTGAAGGCTACCTTAACACATTCCCACTTGTTGCAGGAATCTCACAACTTCAATATCCCTGTTTCCAACTTTTGCTTTAATCAGTGTTTCTCAATCTTGGCAATTTTAGGATATGTGGACTTCAACTCCCAGAATTCCCCAGCCAGCCATGCTGGCTGGGGAATTCTGGGAGTTGAAGTCCACATATCTTAAAGTTGCTAAGGTTGAGAAACATTGGTTTAAATACTTCCAATGAAGAAGAGCCCATTATTTTCTGAGACAGTCTGTTTTACTTCTCAATAGCTTTTACTCTGCAAAAAAATCCCCATAACATTTAGCCAACATCTACTTCCCTGAAATTTCCATACATGTTCATTTTGTTCTCTATTCCAGCTCCAGTATATCTGCCCTCCAGATATTTGTATTGGAGATCCAAATTCAATGGCAATGAATCTTCATACCTCATGATCTCCTAACCACAAAGGGGCTGTATGGTGCAAATAGAGGATTAAGGATTTATTTGGTTTCCCCTCTTTCTCTGGCTCTCTGCCTGCTCTTTGTCTAAGAAATTGCTAGCTCTGAGCTCACATTCTTCTACCTTTCTTCTCTGGCATATGTAAATAAAACACATACTCTTGGATTTTCACCCTGGTAGATGTAATTAGCCGGGCATTAAGCTTTGTCCATCCCTATACTGTATTACCTGTAAATAAATCTCCTTTCTGTTAGAGTTATAAACCTGCTTCACTAATCATTGCTCAGTGTTGATTCCTACTCTCAGGAACGCTCACACATGCACACACAGAACCTTTCAACCTCCATCATTTTGAAGGCTACTAAGAGATGTCTCCAGTTACCAAGCTAAACCTACAAAGCTCCTTCAACTGTTCCTCAGAAGTTTTGGTTTCCAAACTCTCTGCTTTCCTGTCCACTTCCCTCGAATCCCAATGTAGTTTTGTCAGCATCCTTCTTAAAATGCAGCATCCAGAACTGAACATAGCATTTCACTTCACAACAGAGTGCCATCGTGTTGTCTTTTGCAACTTGGACACTATGCTTCTGCTGATGCCAACTGAGATAATACTCACTTTCTAACACATACAGCACATGAAAATGGAATCCATTTTTAATGCTGGTCATTTATGGCATCATCTTATAGCCAAAGACACGCTTCTGGTGCCGACAAGTGTCCTGCCAATGGTATGCACTACTTCCTTTAGCAACTGCCCCACCTCACCCGCATCCTGGAGCCCATTGGGCTCTTTGGGACACCCAGTTCTGCAGGAAGATTTTAAAAGAAAAAGAGTCTCAGAAACTGAAGGCATGAATGCAATACATCACCACTTTTTCCTTCTCCTTGGAGCAGTAGGAAGCAAAGCCCTTGGAGATGATCTCAGCGTACTGCAGCAGGACATTGCTAATGGTCTGAAAAGCAAAGTAATGTCAATAAGAAAAACAAAGAGGATTTGAGCTGACATTGTAATCGAATTGTGGCTTTGCTGGATTACAGCAAGGCCTTCCCCAATCTGATGCCCTTTGCATGTGTGGGATTACAATTTTCAGCATTACTCAGCCGGCAAGCCCCATATGGGAGATGGGTGGTCTATATAGTCAGTATCCCCTTTTGAACAGTATTATACAGATATCGCCAGGCAAACCATGACAACAGGGATTGAAGATAAGGGCACTCCCAGAGGTATATGACTCTGAGGAGGGAAGTTCCGTATTATCTATTATGTTTAATATCTGGAAATAGATCTGTCGATTATGGACATTGAATGGTGTTTCTGTATCATATCCAAGATCCATCTAAATCAGCCTTGATGTCCTCCAGATATGATTCCCCAGCCACAATCCTTATCTGGCTTCCCCTAGAAGCTAGGTGGATGTCTTCATAACTCGCTTGAGCCAAATAGAAATTGTCCTTCTATAGCTGTGAAATCCCTTCTAAGAAAAGGTGGAACAATAGGATCAAGACTGAAGGTGTTCTAGTACTACCTAGCAATTGCTTTTAGTTCAGAAAGGTTCCTTGGCTGGTCAGCTTCTCTGTGATTTGTTCCTTGCTATCATTGGCAAGGCAGAAATCAAAAGCACACATCAGTAGTGACCATAGCACTGGAACTGCCCCTTACCTTGGCAAACCTGCGCATGTAATGGCCTACAATCTGTGGATCAGGGCACTCCAACTTCTTGATGATTTCAAAGCTCTGGTTGAGTTGGGAGAAGACATCAACCACAGAGCAGGAGAAGAGGGCATGTTCTGAGGTTTGTTGGAACTAGAAGCAGACCCAGAGAAATTGAATGAGAAGCTAACTACCTTGAGACGGAAAACAGGAAACTGCTATCAACTGAGTTAGAACATTCATCTTGCTAAATTCACTCTTGCCTATTCTGGCAGTGAATTACCATTCTGAATTTCAAAAAAGATTCTTCCCTTGTTCTACCTAGAGATAGCAAGGGCCAAACCTAAGAACTTTTGTGCACAAAGCTTATGCTCTATAACTGAACTCAAGAGATGGGATTCCAGTGAATCGACAAGATTATTTATCAGATAATAATACTTTGCAAAGTTGTTGTGTGGATAAATGTTTGACATGCTAATTGTTATGCCACACTGGTTCTTTCTAAAATCTCTCTCGCTCAAAAGCTGCCACAAAGAGCTGTGCTCCAACAGAATTCAGTTCTAAGGTTGCTTCTTTTTATTAAAATGCTGCTGGAACCAGATGCATTGATATAAATCTCCAGCTTGATACATTACCCCATCTTTCTTGTCCCGTTCTAATGCCCCATGCAAGAAATCTCGTGACACTTCCTCATTCTCATCCAGCCATTGGATAACAAAAGGCTCAAACCATCTAGGGAAACAAATAAAAAAGAAGCGTAAGACTGAAATCAAGAAAATCTCTCTTGGCCAACTCAAGAGAATTTGAAAGTAGAGATGGGTGAGAATTTTGTTCAGTTTGAGTTTTTCATCAAAACTTACTGAACTCTGCAAATCTCATCACAAACAGGATGAAAAGAATTCAAGTTTTTTTTCTTTAATGAATGAGGGAAAAGTAAAAAGTAAACAAGTAAAAAAAAAAAAGTAAATCCTTTTGAAGTTCTCCACCTATAAGTTCCTTACCAGCTTTTGGAGCATAAAATCTCCTAGTGTAGTTTCTGAAGAACATCTAAAAAAACTGGCCTTAATTTTCTAAAAACTAAATGGGGGTGATATTTGAAAGTTTTCTTCTAAAACATTAGAGTTGGAAGGTGCCATTGAGGCCATGAAGTCTAGCCCCATGCTTAGTGCAGGAATCCGAATGAAAGCAACCCTTAGAGATGGTTGTCCAGCTTCTGCTCATTCACAAGGCACTTGAGGTGTTCAGTCTGAAGAAAAGAATATTGTTGTGAAGCTCAGTGGGTGGTGGGAGATAAAATAGAACCAAATAAATAATTTGAATAATCTGAAGTGGGGCCACTGAATGGCTTAGTCTGGACAAATGGGTACGACCTGGAAAAGGGAGAAGAGGTGAGGCTTGCCTAGAGGTAATTACAGGTATGGTTCCTACCCTTAAGCAGTTGCTAAGCAAGAACTGATTATTAAGAATTCTCCATTGTTCTACTTTATACTGGTTATACTTTCTAATTCTGCACTTTTTATGGAATGCGGTGCTTTTGATTCTTTTAATATATCTTTTACCTTGAATAATGTTCAGATGAGTTCTGCTCAACGCTACAAAAAGCAACTCAATATGCTTTTGGAATGGTACTTTACCAATGTTCAGGAGCATGCAGGTGCATAAATATAGCAAAAAAAGAATCTCCATGCAGTCACACCCATGAAATTGTTGATAACTTTTCCCCAATGTTTTATCGATGGGTCTGCATTCACTCATAAGAGGATGCAGACTGATGCGTGTGAACCAAATGACCTGGACATTTTACAGTTGAAGATACACATTTTTCCCAATTAAACCAGAATGAAGGAGGAAGAGATAGAATATAATAGCCTGAGATGAAATTCTGAAATAAGAGAGCACCAGTTAGCAATCATAGGCTACAAATGGCCTTCCAGGGCCTTATATATGGTTCTCTAGAGACTGTTCTTCCCTCCATATTTGCTATATCCCATCAATTTCTGGAAGACCCTATTCCTGGAAAACACAGCAACCAGTGCCGATATCACTACAGAATCTTCTGTACTGAATGGGTTTGATGATCCCAGAGCTTTGCAGAGACAGGGCCTTTCAGGAAATTAACAAATGTGCATGAATGTGTGTGCATGTTCACATACCCATATATGGGCAGTTCCTGACCCACCACCCAACAATTTATGCAATTTTACTGCTAATATGGTTGTCCACCTCAAACGGGCTTTGAAAATTTCTGACCTTCCCAAACTGTAAGTATCTACTTGGAGGCAGATATTTAAAGTTTGGGAAGGTCAGAAATGTTCAAAGCCCATTTCAGATAAGTAAGGTTGAGATTTAAGCACGAGGAAACAAAAAAGGGACTTACGCGGGGTATTCAGGAACCCGGCTCTTGAAGGAAGGAAGATCTGTGACATATTCATTGTACAACCATTTCACCTTAAAGTGCAGGTTCATATAGTCTGCACTCTTGCATAGACGATGCTTGTCATGCTCTATGAGGATGAGGAGTAGAAGAGGAGAGAAAGACAGCGAAAGAAGTAAGAAGCAATGGGAGTTCACAGTTCTTGCAACAGGCTTTCAGGTTTTAGTGCTGAGTTAGCCAGGCAGAATTATGTCCAGGGATAAAGCAAGATCCAAAAGCAAATCCTGGGAAGAGGCAGAAGAAAAGTAGGGATGGATGGAGGGTGGTCATAGCTATGGGCCAGGGAGGAAATGAGATAAGGGTTTAAACCTGTGAATGAATGGGAAGGTGGGTGGTCTCCCACCAAGTGTTTTTATGTGCATTTAACCTGGGTGTATTGTTTGGCATGGTCCCATTTTTGTCCAGAAAGATCAGAAGCCCAAGGGATCACTGATGGAGGGAGAAGATACATGATAATTGCTCTGTAAGAATGAGCAGTGCAGCTTCTTCTGAAGACCCCAAGGAGACTTACCTTCCATCGCATACTTCATGTCCTGAGCAAAAAGGTTCCACATAACTTCTGCACTGATCTTTCCAACATTCAGCTCTTGAGGGAATCTGTTAAGAATTCAAAAGCAGAACTTCTTGGCCACAGAAGCACTTTTATGTCATCATGAAAAATTAACCAAGATACCTGAATCCTGCTGAAGACCAGAAACTTAATGATTTGTGCATTTTCTTCCCCCTCTTTTGGACTCTCTTATCTTGTACTTACTGGTTGAGGCAAGGCGTGTATGAATTCTTATCTTCCTCAATGATTGATACTATCAAGGTTATAAGTTTAGACCAAAAGTCTAGATTCTTGATGCTGGGACCCTGCTCCTCTGGTGGCAGTTCACTCTTCTTGGACTAGAATGATTGTATGGGAAGGAAGAACAATGAAAAAAAATACACATCAGATTAGCGAACTCATCAGTGTGTCCCCTTGTAGAAACTAGAAGATCAAGGAGAGATGGAAACTGAGTAGGGCATAGCATCAAGATTAGAAGTCTTCCCCAACATGATGCCTTCCAGGACATCCCCAGTTCCTATATTTCCCAAAATGACCAAAGGTATCTTTGGTAGAGCGCCAACCCACTCACGGGATCAGTTTGGTATTCACGACTGTAGAGTTCATGGCAGTTGTTGAAGATGTACTCATAAGTTGAGTTGAGGCAGGCCTTCACACAATCCTTCACCACCTGACTGGCTCGCGGTGGACTCTGGAGCTCTTGGACCTGCATAAGGCAGTGATGAAAAGGGGTACCAATTATTAGAAACCATAGACTAATATAGTGCCTATTTTAAGAAACTTCAAACTGAAAGAGGTGTAAAGGATGATTAGAGATTAGAAACTAAGTCTTCGAAGGCAAGACTGAGGAAACTGGATATGTTTAGCCCAGAGGAAAAAACATGTGAGGGCGTATATGAAATACTTGAAGGGGTGTTGCACAGAAACAGATCAAGACCTGTTGACTATCATCTCAGTGTGCAGGACATAATTACAGGAAAGCAGATTCCACTTTAATGTGAGGAAAAGCTTTCTAGTATTAAGAGCAGTTTGGCAAGAAACAGCTTCTCTAGGGAGGTGGTAGACTCCCTTTCATTGGGTTTTTAAAAAAGAAGGTGGATGGCCATCCCTTCCAACTCTATGATCTTATTATTTTAATTTCCAAGAACACCTCTTGACTCAACAGGCATATTCTTGGAAAACCTCTATTTTTCTGAATCACTCTCTGGATTGAGAACAGCCAGAGAGATCTGGGTTTGGCTGGGCTGTTTCTGGAGCTTTGGAACAGTGGATCAGGCTATTCTTGCACAGCTCTAAACCCAGATTACACCCCACAGCAAGTAGTGGCAGAAATGAAGAAAGCACAAAATGACATTTCCTTCCAATTTTCTAGGATGGGGAGGAACTGGAGATTTACCTTCATCCGAAAGAAAGTGATGCTGGTCAAGAGGTCCACCGTTGATTTAAGGTCCTGCAGTCTTTCAGGACTGCTGGCAGGGAAATTATTCTGAGAAATAGCAGAAATTACAGTAATCATTTGACACTCCTTAACACTCATCTGTGAACCTGTGCTTCCTACTACCTCCTTTAATCTGCTTGTACAAATCTTTCCAGCATCTTTATGGACTGCTTTTTGGCACTACTACAGTTCTTAACAAGTCAATCCTGTGTATATCAACAGAAAATAAGAATGGGAAAACATTTGTTTTCACTGTATGGGAAATTACCCAGTTTGTAATTCCTGGGTTGGAAAGTGCCAGGATCTTCACTCAAATTAAATTAAAAAAAAAAAAATTTAAAGGCTGAAAACATTTAGAGTCACTAGATATCATGAGATGTTGAGCAAAAAACAGAACTGGGGGAAAACAAAGGAAAGAAGTACTGCAGAAAAATTCCTTTCCTTGGGTCCACCTGCATATTTTCATTTAAGTGAATGTAAAAAAGGTGTAACACACACACCACACACATGAAATAACTGAAAAAGAAAAGTCCTAATAAAATTTATATATATACTGTAGCATCAAGACAGCATTGATTGCACTTGTGGATGACTTCTGGTAGGGTTGGGATGGGAGCAGCGTATCCACCCTGGTCCTCATTGATCTCTCAGCAGCTTTCAATATCACAGATCATGGTATTTTTCTGGACCAGCTGAGGAGGTTGGAGGTGTGGGGCATGGTTTTCCTCCTTCCTTCAAAGCCAGTTCCTCTCAGGTTGTTTTGGGCTTGAGTTTCACTTCTCGCCTTGTATCTCTGGGAATGAAACTGGCTTATCTCCTTCAAGGTCATTTTTGGTACTCTCTACAAAAGCCCTGCACAGCATGGGTTACTTTTGGTACCACCTCTCCCTGATGGTTTCTGCCTGCCACATCAGATTGGGCAGAGTGGGCATCCCATCAGTGAAGCGGTATCACTTGGTGGGTCCTAGGAAGTGTGCCTCCTCTGTCATGGCATCTATTTTATGGAACAGCTTCCCTCTGAGATATGGACAACTTTGATTCTCTTGGTCTTCTGGAAGACCATGAAGACCTGGCTATTCCTCCAGGCACTGGGGCCACGGTGTTAATGGAGCTCTGATGTGTATGTGGGTGCACTTGTTATGTTGTTATTGAGATTTTGGGGGAGGGGAGACTTCAACTAGATTTTCTTTAATGGATTCTGAATTTGGTTTTGGTTTATCTTTCTTCATTACCCAGAGTCCTTTTGTAGATGAGCAGCCATATAAATACATTAAATAAATAAATAAATAAATAAATAAATAAATAAATAAATAAATAAATAAAATTTTTGTTGTTGTTGTTCAGTCGTTAAGTTGTGTCCGACTCTTCGTGACCCCATGAACCATATCGCGCCAGGCCTTCCTGTCCTTCACTGCCTCCCTGAGTTTGCTCAGTTTCATGCTCAAAATAAATAAATAAATAAATAAATAAATGCACCAGAAAAAGGTGGGAGTAAGTTTAATTTTCAGTAAGGGAGATGTTTAGAACATTGTGCTCTTATTAACTACATAAGCAAAAAAGAACTAAAAACTTGCTTCTTTTCATACAACAATGACAGATGAAAATGCAAGAAACCAGCCTTTGATACCTCAAAGAATCTGCTTGTTTCCCCATTCTAGGCAAATGCCCATCCTTACCCGATACATTGAGAGATCGATCCTCAGGGAATTGTGTAGCTGGTCCAGCAGTTTGACAAACCGTTCTTTCTGCAGAAAGAGAGAGCCCCAGAAGCAGGTAAATGAAGTTAAAATAATGGGAACTTGAACCCACCCCTCTGTGCCCAACTGTTGGTCTTGACCTTGTTCCGGCTTTGTCAAGTTAGTATAGCAAAACTTATTAATTAAGAAATCATTCTTGTACTTTAGGGCAGAGAATTGGTTGAGTGATGCAAAGCTAAGAGACACCTACAAACAACCTTATTCAGCCTATCCTCTTTTGGATGTTGGTTGGAAGAATCCTAAACCCCCCTTCCCTCCAAACTACCCTTATCATCTTCTTTTCATGAGGAGCACTCCAGATTGGGGCACAATTATTGTTGCAGACTGACAGAGAAAGAGCAAGAAGCCCACATTTTGGAGTAAATGACAAGCGACTGGAAATCCCAGTTCCCTCTTTATGGAATCCTGGTTTAGCTGCTTATGCCTCAATCCAAGAAATTGGATTTGTGAACTTGGCAAAACCTGAAAGCTGTCTAAGCATCAGACCTGTTTTATCAGGGAACAATCCCACTTGGCTATCTGACCTTAAAGATGCTGTTGTAATGCCCACTGTTACAGCAGTAAGCTCCAGAACTTTGTTCTGTTTTTTGCAGAGAGAAAAGGAAAAATCTGATTCGATTCTTCAATCCAAGGATGGGTAACTTATAGCCCTGAATTTCTTCTTTGTTGATGTCTGGGAACCTGGGAAAGATTGCCCACTCTGGTTCCAACTTCCTATACCTAACCAGGATTGGTTTAACCTACTGGGCTCTATCAAGCAAGATTTCCTGGTCAAGACGCTTCTGCCATCATTACTACCCCAGTTCCCAAAGATTCTTGAGCAAAGCAGAGGAGACAAGGGACTTAGCGTTGGTGCGACATTGCATGCAAAGAGCAAAACAGTCCTTTAGAAGACGGTCACCCATTAGGGGACCTCAGTCTTTCCCCAATCCAATTACAGATAGGCTAGCTCCCATCCTTTTTAACTGTGTTTCCCTGCACCTCTTCTACTATTCCCTCTCTGGCTATCCAAGTCCTGGCTGATGCTCTGTTTCTTAACAGCACTGGGCATGCACAGCCATGCATGGTGCAAAACACTGGCCACAAACTGCCAGACAGATATCAAACAGATTCCCGCCTGGCTACCAGGCTGCAGCCAAATTTGCTGTTCTTTTTAACATGGCACAGTGATATTAAGAAACTGGACCCATGCCTACCATTAAGACAAGTAGGTGGAGAAATGGCATTTATTAGGACTGTGTTGTAAGTATGGGTGCTGATAATCTGTGTATCTGGGATCCGTGTCAGTGGCTCGTCAGCCATGTACTATCGAAACAGATTTGTTTTACCCAACTCTTCAGTGTAACTTCTGTGATAATGCATAATTCTTTCCATGGCTAAGAACAGCAGATAGTTACAGTGGTACCTCTAGTTACGAACATCCCTCCTTACGAATTATTCAAGATACGACCAGCGCCGGCCCCAAAAATTTGCCTCGACATGCGAACTCCGC